AAGGTGGCCTGGATACAGCTGTGTAGGTCATCTGGCGACACCTGCTGGCCATTGGCGGAGCGGCAGGCACCTGCGCTGCGGAGGACCTCCACCTCCTCCCCAGCCTTGTCCAGTCTCGCCCACCGCGGCCTGGTTCCCGCCTAGCTCTCTGACCGCACGCCCGAGTCCTCCCCGCTCGCCCAGACGCGCCTGACACTCCTCCCTCTGCTATGGCCACACAAGCCTCAAGCTCCAGCCGGACCCCAGAACCCACACGGTGGAGGCCCGACTCCTGCCAGCTCTCTAACCGCCTGTGTCCTCAGCACCGACCAGCTCTCCCGGCACTGGGACACAGCTGGAGCCCTCTTAACCAGTGATTAAAGGAGGAGGGCCCAGCCCACGGTGGGTGGTGCCGTTGCTGGGCTGGCGGTGCTGGGTTCTAGAAGGATCGGGCGAGCAAGCCGGGGAGCAGCGCCCCCCGTGTCGGCGCGGCTCCTGCCCTGCGTGGGTCCCTTCAGTGGGAGGCAGCGCTGTGGAAGTGTGGGGAATAAACCCTCTCCTCATCAACGTGCTGTTGGTCATGGGGTTTGTCACGGCTATAGAAAACCTGACTAAGAGCAGGGTGCGCTGGTGCAGGCCTGTAATCCCAGCACTCGGGGAGGCAGAGGCAGGCAGATCTCTGTGAGTTCGAGGCTGGCCTGGTCTGCAAAGGGGATCTCTGAGTTGGAGGCCAGCCTGGTCTTAAGAGTGAGTTCCAACAGGACAGCCAGGGCTACACAGAGAAACTCTGTCTTGATAAAACAAGACAGACTGACTGACTGGTAGGACTGACACAGCACAGAGGCCAAGAGAAATGACGATGGTTTGTCAAATACAGAATCACTGTCACCATCCTGCCTACTTGGGGGATGGGTTCCAGGGCACCGACAGCCAAAGGCTGAGGACACATTTGCACATCTGCATTCCTGTTAGCCAGGTTCACAGCGGCCAAAGAGCCAGAAGTCACCCCAATGCTGCAGACACAGACTACGGGCCACCCCACGGATGCAAGGAATATTACTCAGCTGTGAAAAGAAAAAAGGCATGTGACCCCTGTGCCAGCGGATGGTCCCGGTCTTGGGCTCACTGGTGCCACAGGACCCCAGACCCAGGAGAGACAGGGGGTGAGAGGAGAGGGGTGCCAGGGCCTGGGTATTAGTGCTGAGTGAGGACAGAGCTTTGGTGCAGATAGGATGCTCTGGAGGTGGGCACTGGGACAGCAGCACAGCTGTGGGAAGAGCTTCATGCCACTGGACATCTCTTCCATCTTGTTGTGCGTCCCCACGTGCCTGTGGAGGCCACCCGTGCCTTTCTCCATCACTTCCCACCGGAACCTGGCAGCTCACGGACTGAGGCGCACTGGCGGTCAGCAAGCTGTAAAGGTCAGCTCGTCCTTCTCTGAAGTGCTGTGGCCCCTGGGGCACCCCACCAGGCCCACCTCAAAGGATAGGATTGAACTTGGGCCCTTCTGTTTGGATGGCTGACACCCTACCCCCTCAGGCATCTCCCCAGCCAGGCTTCTTTGAAGAAGTGTAGGGCCGATGGAGAACCGCCGGCCTTCCTCCCCGTGAAGAGCTGGCAGGGCCTTCTCTCCAGGTGAGCAGCACAGGCTGGGCCTCCAGTCTCCCGGGAGGCAGGGCGCCAGGTGACCAGGTGAGGCCTGACCCCTCCCCTTTTATACCCGTAACAATGACCCCAAGGGAGCCTGAGTTTAGGAACAAAATTTATTCCGATTTAAAACAGAATTCAAGAGAAAGATATGAAAAGGTGGCTTCAGCAAGATCCTCTGGGTTAGGGGGTCAGGGCCCCGACCTGCTGCTTGCACCCTGGCGCCCGCCCTTCGTGGGTCTGCAGGAGCCTGGCACCGAGACGGGTGCCCGAGCCTCCCCACCCCTCACACAAGGAACATGCTTTGCAAAGGACAAGGGTTAAAAACAGTGTTTTGAGTGTTCTCTTAAATAGGCTGAAGTTTGAAATCAGGACTGTGTAATATACAAGGGTCTTGGCAGGCGCTGGCAGCCACCACGGGCCACGTCTAGGTTCCTGGACCAGGCGCTCGAAGGCGGTTGGCACTCCCAGTGCGCTGGGGCAGACACAAACCAGTGTCTCCCCTGGGGAGGGCCAGGCCGGATGGAGGGAGGCTGAAGTCCCCTTCCTGACCTTTCGGCACACCCCAAAGGCCCCAGCATGGTCCCGACAGAACCCGCCACCCGCCGCTCAGGTGAGCTGGGCCCAGGGCTTTGGCTGTGGCCACCGTGGCCTGATACACTTGGCACACAGCCTGAGAGAGGCTAACACTTTGCCAGCTTGGGGTGGCCAGCCCTCGGACACCTGTTCAGTCTAAGTCCTCTTCCTATTGTGCGACACAGATGCCCATTCTGTGAGGACCTGGAGCTCCCAAGGGTGGCTGTTTGGCTCGGGGTGGCCTGGATGACCCTGCCTGGCACCCATGCAGCCCTGCAGTGGGCGGGGTGGCACGAGACTGCCCCTCAGCTGCAGACAGGAGAGAAGCCCGGGGTGGGAGGGGGGGGGACCCATGGGGTGGAGGCTAGGAATGTGGGGGACCGTCACAGCCACCCATCCACACCCTAGGGCTCTGTCATGTCCACTGGTCCCTTGTTCCCTTCTGCCTGGACGGCAGTGTAGCCCACTGCCCAGACTGGCGCATGTCTGAGTGGACACTCTGGGGCCTGGAGTCCAGCGTGGCAGGCAGGACAAAGGCAAGGCTGGATATCCAAACCCAGAACGCACGTGCAAAAGTAAAGAAATCTGACAGACAGACACTGTAGTGTGTATGAGCAGCAGGGGGCTGCCTGTGTCCTCTCTGGCCATGGCCATCACTTCCTGGACGCTGGCATCCGGCCTGGGAAGCACCGGCATGGTGCAGAGACTGGAGCCGGGGACCAGTGCGTGGGGCGAGGCCACTGTCCGTGTCTGGGGACAGACCTGAGAATATTCGGAAGGAGCCCCTGAGCACCCCGCTCTCAACGACGGGGGGGGGGTGGGTAGGGGCCTCACTGAGCCACAGGGCCTTGGACGGTCCCTCCAGCTGCCCCTCAGGCTCCCTAGGGCCGCTTCCAGCCAGGCCAGTGGAGAGCAGATCTTGGGGACACAGGGGTGAAGGTCACTCTGAGCAGGAGACCCTGTAGTGTGTCATCTGCCCTACAAGCCATAGTGGAGCAGAATATATCTCTTTTCTTCAAAAACAAAAACAAAACGAAAACGATTAGGCACTTCCCAGGGTGGGCACAGGGTCCGCCCACCCCCACTTCTTGGAGTCTAGGGAGCGGAGGGTGCGGGCCCCGAGGGCACATGGGATATCAATAACTTAGAAAAGGGGCAGTCCGTGGTCCCCAAGCCTGCAGCCTTCCCCGGGGATAAGGACTGGAACTCAGGACTGTGGGCTCGGGCTGTAGTGGCCCTGACCTTGAGAGCCTCGTGGCTGTGGGGAGTCCCTGGGGAGGGCGCACTGACGTTCATGGTTTTTTTCTTTTTTGTTTGTTTGGGTTTTTTTTTTTTCCTAGAAAAAACAAAAAAAACAAAAAACCAAAATCCCTCAAGCCACAAGGAGTCAAGGCCAAAAAGAGGCCATCCCTGCCCTTGAGGAATGGTGCCGGGGACGGCAGTGGGCGGGGGGAGAGGCGCCCCAGCCCTCGCCAGGCCCCGGGTGCGGGCGGCTGGACTCGGGGGCTGCGCCAGGTCACGCCCGGTCACACCAGGTTGTACTCCTTGAGGTTCAGCTGCAGGATGGTGTCCTTCACGGCGGCGAACACGAAGCGGATGTTCTCCGTGTCGGTGGCGCAGGTGAAGTGTGAGTAGATGATCTTGTCGCTGTCGGGGTTCAGGTCCACAAACATCTTCAGGATAAACTCGCGTGCGGCCTGGGCGTCCCGCTGTGGCCCTGCAAGGAAGCCCCAGTCAGTGGCCTCCCTCAAGGGGGCCCGGGGCAGTCGGAGGCAGCAGGGTGGTGACAGTGGGGGCCAGGGGCGGGGCTCACCGTCAAACTCAGGGAAGTAGTCAACCAAGTGAGAGTGCAGAATCTTGTCTTCCAGCAGGTCCTTCTTGTTGAGGAAGAGGATGACGGAGGAGTTCTGGAACCAGGGGTAGGTGATGATGGTGCGGAACAGCGCCTTGCTCTCCTCCATGCGGTTCTGCGGGGACGGGAAGGGCCCGCTGGTGAGCAGGCTGCCGTGCCCACCCCTGCCGGCCTCCAAGTGCACCCTCAGCCTCACCTCGTTGTCCGACTCCACCAGGACCTGGTCATACTCGCTTAGGGCCACCAAGAACATGATGGATGTCACGTTCTCGAAGCAGTGGATCCACTTCCTGCGCTCTGACCTCTGCCCGCCAACATCCACCATCCTAGGGGAGACCGCATGGCCGCTCAGCTTGCGGCTGCTGCCTGCAGCTCGGCACCTTTCCCCAGGGCCAAGGTGGCCGCAAGCCCAGGATGACCAGGCTGATGTGCCTGTGGACGCACAGGTCCAGATGGTTCAGGGTTTGCCCAGAGGCCTGGGTGGCCTTGCACACCTGAAGCGGCTCTCTGTGGCGCAGAGGCACGGCGCCTGCCCAGGTGGCGGCACACTCCACTTCCTCATTTGTGTGGACGGCGTCCGGCCAAGCAGAAGGACATGATGGCCTCTGCCCGCTGACCAAGAAGCCAGAGGGCTGCCCGCCTGTCCAGGTCGAGGTCCCCAAGTGTGCACCGTGGGCCCTGCCCTCGGCAGCGGCGGAGGGACACCTGCCTGGGGGGAGGGTCTCTCCTGGGGAGATGGCTGCATCAGCCTGGGGAGGACGGCCCTGTAGGGGCCACCACCGGGACCTGAGGACAGTGATGGACATGGACGTGCCCACATCGGCACCGCCTAACCCACCCAGGGAAGGCCTTTACATGGGCACAGGTGTCTGTCCTCTGTCTGCACTGTTACCACCAGGAGCCTTATGGACAGCAGGTTAAGAGAGGGTGGGGTAGGAGATGGCACAAGATGCCTGAAGAGCAAAGGCCCGAGCACAGGATGCTGGGGGGTGGCGCCTGGGCAAGTGTCACCCAACTCACCCTGACCTCCTCCTGCCCTGGCCCTTCTGAGTCTGTGGGTGAGAGTGCTGACTCAGAGCAAAGTGTGTCTATGTCCATGCGCCCCATGCGTCTCCAAGGCTTGTCCTGTGCCCTTCAGGTTCTCGGGCCCCCAGGGAGGAGCCCTGAGAGGTTGTCCAGCTGACGGCCACAAGGCCCAGCACTCCAAGCCTCAGGACCCCTGCCGACCCCCTCGGCCAAGCCTGAACGCCTCCTCCTACAGCCCCTAACCGTCACCCCTGACTGGCAGCCCCGGACCATCACCTGAAGATGATGTTCTCCAGGTCGAACGGGTACTCGATGATGCCAGTTGTGGGCACGCGCACCCGCAGCACGTCCTGCTGGGTGGGCAGGTAGCCCACTGTGGCGATGCGGTCCACGTCCGTCAAGTAGCTGCAATGCAGAAGTGTCTGCTCAGGAGCCCACTGGGGACCTTGGGCACCTGGGACATGGCATAGAAGCCATACCCACAAACAGCCAGGGACTTGGTACTGGGTACTAGCGGGCCTGGGGGCCTAGCTGAAAGCACACTGCCTCCATGGGCCTGGGGTCACAAGTGTCCGAGATAGGAAATGATCCCAAGAAGAGACGAAGCGCTGCAAACAGCTGAAGGGTGGGGCCCACAGCGCAGAGGTGCCCACAGCACAGGGGACACCTCATAAGGCTCAACTCATGGTCAGGGTGGCTGTGTGTGGGCTCAGAGCAGGCAGGCCAGACAGGAAGTCCCAGATACCTGCCGGCCACACTCACTACTGACACAGGTGTCTTGCTGAGCCGCCGAGCCCCATCAGCTGGGACTGTGGAACAGCCTCCCAGCATGGACTCCCTGAGCTGTGACTGCCTCCCAGATGCCTGCATGGTTAGCCCTGAGGGCGGCCCAGGCCAGGGCTGGGCTCTTCTCCCAGCCAGGCACAGGGACATGGTCAGAGGCCACAAGCAGGATGGCCAGCTGAACCAGCTGAGCCCTGCGTCTTGCCCCTGAGGCAGGCACGCTCAGTGGGTGGTCAGGAGAGCAGACTGCTGGTCGATTGTCAAGGATGGCCAGCCCTGTGGGTTAGGAGGCTGTGGACAGGCTCTTGGGCCTAGGTCATGGCCACTCTGACCCTATCTGTGTCCACTGGGTCATCCATGCATGCCAGCCCCACTCACTACTTAGCCGAGTCAGAGAGCTGGAACTCCCGCCTGCGATCGTAACACTCCTGGACACCAGGGTCACTCCACAGCGTCTTGATGGCATTCACGTACTGGTGCTCGAAAGTCGTGACCTTCTCCACATCGACCTCCCGGATCAGGAGTGCATTGGCCTGAGGGAGGAGGGAGGGTGTGAGCCCTTGGGAGGACCCTGGCCAAGCAGGGAGCCTGCAGGGCAGCGAGGGGAGCTGGGGCTGGGGTTCGCGAGGCCTCTGGGAAGCAGTGAGGCTGCAGGGCCCCAGCAGCCACCTCCTGTGCTTCCTGACCGCTCAGACTCAGCTGCTGTCATTGTGGGGGCGGACACTCGGGCTGGGAGATGTGAGCGCAAATCTGCGTTTCCCTTTCTGTGCTCTGCCGAGTTCTCAAGTGAGCTCTTGTGTAGCCCAGGCTGACCTCCGGATGCAGCCAAGGATGACCTTGACTGCAGTCTCTACCCACACACTGGGATGGCAGGTGGGTACCGGATGAACTGATTTACTGGGGAGGGGACCCAAGGCAAGCACTCTACCTTCAGGGACGCACCCCTGGGTCGGCCACACAGGGCATGCACGGGGCGGAGCTGCCTCCCTCCCAAAGGCACCAGGAGGCGGCCCTTCCACACCCCAGACCCCTGAGGGCCTGACCTGGATCACTGTTTGGGCCACTAGATGCAGACATGGCTCCCAGCCTGACAGTGTGTGGCTCTACACTGCTCACCCAGCACCCAACACGCCCCAGGCTGTCTGGGCCTCAATGGGCCCTGGAGGGGCCTGTCCACCCGCCTGTCCTGCCCTGACTGCCCTTGAGCCTCTTGTAGGGAGGCACCAAGCCCCATCAGCCTGTTTGTGGAAAGGGTGGGGAGGCTGCTTCTAGCTAGGTGTACCTGTAAAGCTTAGCCCCACACAGCACTGGGCTGCAAGTCCCAGCCCGCCTCCCCACCCCAGCAAGACTTGAGGCTCAAATGGGGCCCTGGACAATAATAGTCAGGAGGCTGCAGACACTCTCAAGCAAGCTCTGGTGCCCCCCCCCCCCCATACCCCAGATCCAGGACCACAGGACCCCAACCTGACATCAGGGACTCCATAAGTCTCCATGCATGACCTGACTCCTTTCTTTTTAAGATTTATTACATATACACTATTCTGCCTGCAGGCCAGAAGAGGGCGCCAGATCTCACTATAGATGGTTATGAGCCTGGACCACGTGGTTGCTGGGAATTGAACTCAGGACCTTTGGAAGAACAGCCAGCGCTCTTAACCTCTGAGCCACCTCTCCAGCCAACCCCCTCCACCCACCCCAGCTTTTGGTTTTTCAAGACAGGGTTTCTCTGTGTAGTCCTGGTTGTCCTGGACTCACTTTGTAGACAGGCTGGCCCTGAACTCACAGAGATCCACCTGCCTCTGCCTCTGCGTCCTGGGATTGCATGTGTGTGCCGTTGTGCCTGGCTGACTGAGGGTTCTTAAGACAATACCTGGCACTGGGGAGACTGCAGTGGAGGGGTGGCAGGTTCCAGACCAACCTGGGCTACTGAGCAAGAAGGCCCTGTTTCTGAAGCGCAAGAGTTGGGCGCTTGGCTCAGTGTGAGTTCAGGCCTAACAGGTCCAAGACCCTGAGTTGCATCAATAAAAAAATTAAAAAAGAAAGAAAGAAGGAAGGAAGGAAGGAAGGAAGGAAGGAAGGAAGGAAGGAAGGAA